CTATGCAGATATTACTTGTATTTTGGAGGTAAGAATAATGCAGCTCAGAGAGTAAATCTGGTTTTCCTGAGGTTAAACAACTAGAAAGTCAGGAATCTAGGATTTGGACCCTAATGCTTTGCCTCCCCATTTGTTTCATTCCATTTGGCTCTTGCTTGGCAGAGGGTAAAGAAAGGGTAGTGGACTGGCAGTCAGAAGTCTGGCTTCTAGCTGTGGTCTTGCAACCACGCGGCTGACCTAGCTCACCCCTCTCCCTCTCCCTTATGTTTTACTCTTTACACGGGATGTTCTGACTTGCCTGAAACTGAATGGTTATCCATGACACAGAAAAATCCCATGGAAACCGAGACAAATCAATCTCCCTGTTCTGGTTTTCACCCACTTTTTGATCCCTGCAATCTTCTTAGTCAGTCTCGTGTACTCCACTGGTTTGAATACCAGCAAGTTCTTAGATGCCCATTTATCAACTTCCTTCTCCACATCTTTCCTTAGCTTCAGTCCATCTACCAATGGCCACTTCACAGTGATCACTGCCTCAGAGTGTCCCAGACTGCTCCCCTACCATCCATCTCTATTTCAACTTCTCCAACTCTGTTCCCTGTTGCAATTAGTGACACCATCATGCATCCCACTAAGACTCTAGGGAGTGGTCTTGGCCTGCCTCTGCTTCCCACCCTGATAGCCTGAAGGTATGGTCAATCTTCCCGTTTCTGGAATCTGTCCACATGGCTCCATCTCCACAACAGCTGCCTTAGTCAGACATTCATCACCTTTGCCTGGATGGTCACCTATTTGGATGGTCACCTCAGGGTTTGGGATTGTGCCCCTCTCCATTTGCTCTACCCTACACTCTACCCTACTTGATCATTTCCAGATTTGATCATTTCCAGATTGCTTTCTTTTTTTTCTTCTTTGGGGCTCTTGGTTGCGCAGCTGCAATCCTGGATCTGTAGCCCATTCAAAGGTTCTTTTGGTGGCCCTTCAGTATGTTTCTTTCTGTCTAAGGTGGCCAGTGTCTGTTTCTGTCACTGGTGTCTAAGAACTCCGGTGAACGCAGCATGCGGTAATGAATGGGAAGACCAGTTCAAGGAACCTTCCCAGAAGGTTTGCAGAAGGAGAAAGGTGAAGACGGGAGACTACAGTGGGAGTCTGTCATCTGGACGAACAACTCTGGACAATTACCTGCCACAGAAGCTTCCCCAAAGAGCTGAGAGCACTTTGCTGAGTCTGGGAGGCTCCACTAGACATTTCTAGGCACACACAGCTGGGGTGGTGCTGAGTCCTCAGCCTTGGGCTCTGATCCAGGTGACCACTTACCTGAGATTGGCATAGGTGGGTTGGCAAGTCAACTCACCTCTCTAGACTTAGTTTCCCAATCTGCATAGGAGAAACTCATAGGTATTAGGGCTCTACTTTGTGTGTGGTGTGAAGGAAGAATTTCTATTTAAATTCATTTCTGCATTCTGAGGGTGGTAGGGGGCAGTGGAGAAATTTAAGCCCCTTTTAAAATTATTCAATGGGCCACTGACTATAAAATCTAAGAGCCCTGAGCTTACTTTATGAGGGAGGGATTGACTAAGGGCATCTAAAATTGTCCTATATAATATGATAATAGGATTTTCAGGTTATTCTTGGTGATCTTAGAAACTTGGATGGTGGGAGGCAAGGAGCTGGGTGAGGATGATGGTTAGAACCTGTGTACTGGGGCTGGGGACAGGCAATGGGAAAGAGGGTCATTGGGAGAATGCAGGTCCCAGCAGTAGGGCAGCAGGTGTGTTCCCATAGGGAAATGGCCTGGAGACCTTGGCTGATGAACTTTAGAAGCTCTGATGTCAGACAGTGGATTTATTTTCTATCTCATGCTGCAAGTTTTTTCTTGTTCCTGGATCTTTCAATAAAGCCCGTCTTTCATAACAGTGCATGTTTAGGTGCTTTGAGAAATGAAGAGGGGAGGACTCTGTCCATGATTGGGGTGAGGAGATGTAGAGAAGCATTTGGAACAAGAGGCCCCAGCCAGCTGGTGACATACATCAGAAATTCCTTCCTACCCAATATGGTCCACAGACATTTGCAGGAAGGCCTGGTCTTTTCTGCAGACACATGCAGAATTGATTCTTGAGTCACTATATTTAATAAGTAGAGGAAACTGTGAGTTCAGAAGGAGAAATTCAAGTTATATTTATGCCACGCATTTTCCTGGTCTGTTTGCAAAAGATTTATTAAGTCTCACTATGTGTCAGGTACACATTATTTTGTGGGATCTTGGCCAGCACATAAGGATAAGCCTTACAGGGGACACGTGGTAGGAAAAGAAGCCTGGGAAATCAGGTGACAGTCCTGGGCCTACTCGCTCACAGGTTCTATGCATTCTCACACTTGACTCGTGAGAAGATGCTCAACTACTGCAAGGCCCTGGGAAGATCCCAGACTCTCTTGCCATTTTTTATTTTCTGGGTGGTGAGCCAGGGCAGAGGGAAGACCAACAAGGGAACTGTGGTCACTACCTGGACCAGTCTGATGCAGTATTAATATCACAGGGCCTTTGCTGCAGCTGGCTCTAATTCTATTAGGTGCTTCACGCCTACTTTTGATAGATGTCAGTTGGCTAGTGTGGCTTTTATTTGCAGCTAAAATGTTTGCTTTGGCTTAGAATGTCCTTTTCACTTATTCCTTCTACCTACTGTAAACTGAGTTGTATCTTCCAAAAAGATATGCTGGGATTCCTAACCCCTGGCATCTGTGACTGTGACCTTATTTGGAAATGGGGTCTTTGCAGATATAATCAGCTAACATCATTTAGGTGAACCCCAATGCAGTATGATTAATGCCCTTACAAGAAGAGATAGAGAAGCACAGGGAGAATGTCATGTGGTAGCCAAGGCAGAGATTGCAGCCATGCAGATTTCAGTCAAGGGACACCAAGGATGGCCACCTGCAACCAGAAGCTGGAAGAGGCAAGGAAAGAGACTATTTGTCTCCAAAGGAGCATGGGTCCTGCTATCTTGATTTTCTGCTGACGAGATCTATGAGAGAATAACTTCTGTCGTTTTAAGCTACCCAGTTTGTGACATTTTGTTACAGTAGCTCCAGGAAGCAAACACATCACCCTAAAGCAGCTAGGCCAGCAGAGCTGAGCTCCTGCATTTCTCATCCACCTTCTGTGACCATCACTCTCATCCATTCAGGCACACACACAGCTGGACAAGCCATGTGCTCAAGTGGACTTCAAGGTAGGGAAACAAGAAATGCAGATAGGAGAGGGGTGAATAAGGCAGAGACTGGACCCTGTCCTGGGCCATTCCTTAGTACCTGGTTCTTTCTCAGTTCGAGGAGGTGTTATTGCCACAATCCCAACTGCAGCAGGGACGTGCCATGGGCTCTAGTGGGAGATTGACTTCTTCATTTTCTGCTCGCCAGTCTCTCCAGCGAGAACTTCCTCCTCCTACTGCAGCATTTATCACATCCTCGTACTTATTGCCTTCATGGCTCTTGGTCCATGAAGTGACTTGATGATTTTGTCATTTATTTAGGCCTCTCGACGTCAGCATGGCTGAGATCTTGGGCCAGATGGTTCTTTGCGGTGGGAGCTGTCCTGCAAATTTTAGCAAATGCAACAGCTTTCCTGGCCTCGACCCACTAGGTGCCAGCAGCACCCTTCCCAGGCGTAGCGGTAAAATATGTTTCCAGACATTGCCAATCGTCCCCTGGGGGAGAGGCGTCCCTGGGCGAGGAGCGCTGTCTCCTGAGCAAGGAGTTGTCAGTTGTTTGCTCTGTCTCTCCAGTGCCTGGCACAGTGTGTGAACGCAGTGCCACTAAGTCAATGTGGTTGTGAAGCCAACTAAAGTGCCACCGTAGAGTTGAGTTGCTATTTGTGGGGACTCCAAGGAGAAAGACCCATGTCTGGTTGGAAGGCACCCAGGAGAGGCAGCTCCAAGGAGCTGGCTTGAGAGTAGAAACTGGGAAGGACCAAGTTCATCCTGGCCAGGGGTGGGGAGAGGGCAGGCCCTGGATAGGGGGAGGAGGTGACCTGGGGCACAAGGGATTGGTGAAATGTTGGTGCTGGGGGTGAGGGGACAGACAGAGCAGCACAGAGAGGCTTCAGGGCTTGGGGGGAGGAATCCGAAGGCCCTGGACCAAGGCAGTGGCAAAGGAATTGGGTTCTACTTCAAGATGCTGATTAATAAGAGAAAGTTACTCTGAAGTTATTCATATGCCTGATTATCCCCTTGATTTGTGTTCTTTGCTGACAGATTAGTGCTTCATGAAAGGCCATTACCCTGATAGCTCAAATTTCTCTATTTTTATTTTTACTCAGCAACTATCACGTCTGATCATTTTTACATTAATTGTATATAGCACTGCTTTGCTTTAAATATATTATTTAAAAACATTTTGTTTTACAGTTCATTTCCCAGCTAGAAATTCTGTAGACAGTGGTCATAAATCTCCCTTGAAAGAAACCAGAAGTTGTCTGTTTTAATTTCATATCAATTTTCTTTTGCTGGGGAAAAGTGCTAGAAAAAACCACAACTTTTCAAGCACTTGCAATTATTCACATTTTACTCTACTAGTTGGTTGCTGTTTTTAAACTGAAAAGATTACTTTCACAATGCATTCATTTGAGGTTAGGGCTTGAAGAAGGATTTGGGGACAAAGTGTAAGATTTTAAATAGAAATAGCAATTTAATTCGGGGGTGTGATCAAAAGGGTAGCAGAAATTAGATTTTAAAAATAGGACAGGTTCCAGATCAGGTAGCTATAGCTACAATTTAACTTTTGTGCTCACTAGCTCTGTGATCCTGAGCAAGTTACATTCTCTCTCTCTCTCTCTCTTGTTTTCACCTATTCAAAGTCAGAAGATTATGACCAAGGACTGCCAAAGCTCAGGGCTGTAAACAATCAACAACCAGTTATTTGGCCCGCAGGTTTTTCTCTTTCGTGTAGGGTTCCATGTTCTGTTTCTCATGGCAACAGATGCAGTGGTGAGATTGGAGTTGGATAATGCCTTTCCATTCATCTGGCTGGCGAATTGACCTTGATTATTGCAGGGAGCTCAGCTTAGTGTGCCAACCAGGGTATCTGCATGTGGACTCTCTAGCTGGGTGGTCTCAGAGTCATTGGACCACTTACATGATCTGGCTCCCCCTAGAATAAATGTCCCAAGATAACTTGTCAGAAGCTGTATGCCTTTGTAGGACTTGCACTCAGAAGTCAAAGACCATCAGTTCTGATATATCCTACTGGTAGAAGCAGTTATAAACCTGCCCACATTCAAGGTGGGCATAGTCATTCCTAACACCTCCCTTTTCTCCCACAATATGTATTGATTCAGCACAAGTTACATTGACACTGCCTTTCAAAAAACTCACAAATATCCACCACATAGCTGCCATCATCTTTTGCCTTAAAAACTTGTTTGTTTTTTTTATTGCCTCCAAAAGAGCCTTCCTCCTGTGCATTGTAACATCTACCCAAGAGTGAATATGGTTGTGCATTCACATGATCATAAAACACTCCAGTGAAATCTGACTCTCACTAGATAGATCAAAGACAACAGGACCTGCATGCCGGGCCTGGCTTCCTCTGTCTCAACCTCTCCTGGTATCAGAGCCCACATCCTACCCCTCCCTCTGGATTTGCCTGGCTTTTTGAAACTCCTGATAGAACTCCATTGCCTCTTGCAACAGAGCTTTCCACCTGCTGTTGCCTTAGCCTGGATGTTACTTGTCCAGACTGCTACATTAGGCCAGCTGTTCCTATCCACTGTTTCTTCAGAATTATTGTTATGACAGGGTGTTTGGGGCTTAACTATCAGGAACACAACTTCAACTGGCTCATACTAATGCTATGCACCATCTGGTATAACAGTAAGCCCAGAGGTAGGAAAGACTACAGAGTGGGTTGTTTCAGTGGCTTGAAAATGTCTCCAAATTCTTTCTGCATCAAGGTCTTTTGAGTTTTTCCATGATTGGTTCCCATATTACCTTCAGCCTAAAGCCAGCTCCTGTTCGAAGTCTGGCTAATAGCTGCAATCAGCCAACTTGCTTCCTCAACTTCATCTCCTCTTACCCTGGAATAGAAAGCTGTCCTTTGTATGGTTGGGCCAACATAGTTCATGTACCAAGCCAGGCCTGAGGCCAACACTGGCCGTCAGGAGAGAACTGTGGTGTGATTGACATGGACCAGTCAGAATCCACCAGTAGAGGAGGTAGAGGCAGTGGTGTCTCCTGAGTCACATGACAATGTGGAAGGACAGTAGACTTCTCAACAAAATTGGGATACCTAGGAAGTAGACCATGGGGATGGGTGGGTGGGGGGCCAGTGGTGTCCACCGAAACTGCTACATGCCTCTCCTCGGGGGCCTTTACTCTAAGTTGTAACTAAAAAGATTTAACTATGGTAACACACACCTATGATGATATTCACCATCTTAGCTCTTTTTAAGTGTAGACGCAATGGCATTAAGTTCTTTCACCATGTGGGGCCATGGCTCCATCCATCTACAGAACTCTTTATGTCTTATAAAATGGAAACTATTATACTATTAAACTGGGTCCCTATTCCACCTCTTCCCAGCCCCTGGTAACCACCCTTCTACTTTTGATTTCTCTGAGCTTGACTGCTCTAAGCACCTCGTGTAAACGGGAGCATGCATCCTTGCTCCTTCTATGGCAGATTTACGTCACTCAGCCCTTAATGCCCTTGAGGTCCATCCATTCATCCATGTAACACGGGTCTGAATTCCCTTCATCTTAAGGCTGAATGTTTTCCACTGAGTGGATGGACCCGTTTCTTTATCCATTCTTCTGCAGGTGGACAACTCAGATAGTTCTACCTTGTGGCTACTATGAATGATGCTGCCATGATCCCAGGATTACAGCCAGGCACAGGAGTCTGGCGATGGCCGTCCTGTTTCTCCTCTCCTCCTCATGCTGAGCACTCCCCCAGGAATACCGTGCTCCCTTTGTTTTTCCTCCACACTATTGCAGGACCTGGGTCAGCGACCGGCAGAATGTAGACAATCAAACATTTGTTGACTAAGTGAACAGACACATATAACTTAGGATAGCTATCTTACTTCTCCACGGTCACTTTTTCTTTTCCCTAAAATTATGTCAGTGAGCACACAACTGGGAACCCACCCAGATAGACTGAGAGAGAGATTTAAAAAACAAAACAAAGATTTGTTAAATCTCAGTGTTCTAGCAGGGAGCTATTTACCTGCTTTTGATCATTTGGGGACAATATTGCGTTGATTTCTTTTTTATGGTTAGGTATTTGTAACAACACTTGAAGAGAATTTTTAAATCCCAGACTTTGTGAAGATGATGCAGGAACTTAATTGGAAGAGGTAGCTTTTGCCCCACTGTGGCTTTTGGCATGAGGGACCTCAGGTTCTTAGTACCTTGTCTCTGGACGCTGGGAGGAACCCAGCCAGTCCAGTGAAGGAAATGATTGGCTTGGAATGGTTTTGTCCTTCACTTTGGTTCAGGCTGAATGATATTTGTGTCAAATGGGTTTTTTTTTTCTGAGCTGGTTGATGTTTTAAAAATTATTATGGAAAATTTCAAAAGAACAAAAAAAAAGTCAAGACAATAATAAAATAAACTCTCATCTACACTGGATTCAATTTCAGCAATTATCAACTCTGGGCTAATATCTCCATCCACTTCCCCCTAGATTATTTTGGAGAAAATCCCAGACATGGTATAATTTAATCCATATGGATTTCACCATGCATTTACTAGGGAAGTACTCTTTAAAGAAATATGATGACAATTCTATTTTTACATCTAAATAATTAAATATAATTACTTACAGCAACGAAATATGGAGGAAGTGTTCACATTTTTCTGATTATTTTGTATTTTTGAAATGGTTTTCTCTGTCAGCTGAGTTTCACACATTGCAACTTTTGGATGTTTCTCTTTGTGGACCACCTGCACCCTCCCTCCTCTGGTCATCTATGCCCACCCCTTGCAAATTATTTGTTGGAAAAACTACTTAGTTGGCCTGTGCTGATGGAATTCCTGTGACATCATTTAACCTGTTCCTCTGCCCCTCTATTTCCTGTAACTTGGTAGTTAGCTGTTGAAACTTGATAGATTCAGTCTAATGGACTCTCTTTTTGTAATGTTAGTAGTTATTCACAGCTATTCCTAGGTCCATTATTTCATTAATTTTTATAAAATGTGAGTTTCTAATTTTATCATCCTTTATTTTTAAATATTTCTGTAATGAAAACCTCTCTCATTAACCCCTCAAATATCCACGTATGCTTGTATACAAAAGGCAGGATGATTTTTACCTTTATGATTTTTTTTTTTTGGTACTGGGGGGATTTAACTCAGGAGTACTTAACCACTCAGCCACATCCCCAGACCCTTTTTTTGTATTTTATTTAGGGATGGGCCCTCAGTAAGTTGCTGAGGCTGGCTTTGAACTCATGATCTTCCTGCCTCAGCCTTCCAAACTGCTGAGATTAGAGGCATGCACCGCCATGCCCAGCGAGACTTAATGAGATTTCTTCCTTTGCCCACCTCTCCTTCCTCCCTCCTTCCATGCTCTTCTCTCCCTGTCTTTTCTTTCTTTTTTTTTTGGTACCTGGGATGTGAACCCAGAGGTGCTCAACCACTGAGCCTCATTCTCAACCCATATTTTGAGACAGAGTCTCTCTAAGTTGCTGAGGGCCTTGCTAAATTGCTGAGGCTGACCTTGAGCTTGCAATCCTCTTGTCTTAGCCTCTTGGGCTGCTGGGACGGCTGGTGTGTGCCATGACAGTTGGCCCTCTCTTTCATTTTCATCAGCTCATTTAAACATATTACTATGCCTATAGCAATGCCCTCTTAGCTAACTTACACATATTTGATGGGCTCCCATAGGATTTGTCACTTTTTAATTTTACAGTGCTTGTTTCTATTTGAAGAAAATATTTACATGCATGTAATTGACTAATACTCTCTTTAAATGCCCACTTAAATGTCCATGGTGTTTTGTCCAGACTGCCCTATAATATGCCAAACAGAAAACCCCAGGACAAGGTTTTAATAAGCACGTTTTCCTGGCTAAAAGGGAGAGACACAGTAGGTGAGTATATTCTGCCCTTTTGCTTTCTACTTCTTCCCACCTGGGATGTAGGTGCAATGACTGGAAGACAGCAGTGATCGTGCCACAGAGAGGTTGAGCCATGTGTGTACCTAGTGCTGGACTGGAGAGGCTGAATTGGAACTGTGGTCCTTGGATGCCCTCAAGAAATCATTCCATCTCGAGATTGTGGTGCCTGACTTGTTGCTATGTGAGGAAAATACCTTGCTTTTCATGCCAGTACTTATTGGCATTTTTGACACTTGCAGCCACATGTTTTCACTGATATTTGTCCAAAGTCATGCACATACTGAGTGGGAGGGCTGGGTTTCCAGGCCATATTTCTTAAGATCTGCTGTTGTGTTCTCTTGTTAAACAGCATAGAGAAGCTTGGGTAAGGAATGTAGCTAGATACTTCCACATGGAAAACCCCCTCATTAACTCTTTAATCACCCCAAGACATACTTCCTACAGAAAAGAGGGTTAAATGCTTGATTTGTAAACCAGTTGCTTTTGCCCAAGGCCAGGTGGTTCTCTGAATAAGATCCGGATTAACACACATTATCAGCATCTCCTTAGCAGGGAACAAGATGCCTCTGGCCTTCTGTAATGAACTGATGAAACATACAAGCTTTTTCTTGCTTCTTGTCAAATGATTTCCAAACCTTCCACACCAAACATGCCTCTTTTCTTAACTCCCTGCAAGGTACAATATGTTTTGAAAGATTTTGTTGAGTGAATTACACTTGTTAATAAAAACTTGATTCCTTTTTTTCATTTAAATTTAATCAAATGTTCATATAACCTCTAATCTGCAATTTCTCATCTGCATGACCAGCGTTAGCACACTGAGTTGGCTCTAATTTCAGAAAAATAAAGAACTTTGGTTTATTGGTATATCCTTAAATTCTGTTGGGATTTAAAGGTTAATAGGTTTAAATTTAAGACTTGCATGTCCATCACTCCCTGGTTACCTCTGCATACTCCTGTGGGTCTGGGGGCTCTACTGGAGACCCAGGCTGAGGTCCCTGATACATAGTCTGCTGGCCTATATCCCAGTTAGTTGGCTCCCAACACCATAAAGGATATGGAAGAGGTTACCAGGCAAGAAGATGGATTTGGCTACCCCACAAGCTCCTCTAGGTACCACAAAGTCTGGTTGTCCTAGGTCTATCCAGCTCTTGAGGCCCGTCACCCCTGCCTGGAGTCTCAGCTGAGCCTGGTCCCTGAAGAGCAATTGTGGGGTATTCAGGAGCCCTCTCCACAAAGGGAAAGGGACCTAACGTCGGACTTCTCAGGCATGCCGCCAGCCTGTTTTTTATGCTTACCCTGTTCCTGTGATTGAGTTCTGTTTGAAAAACATTTACTGAGCACCTGCCATAAGCCAGCTTAGTATGAGATGCCGGCTAGAGATGAATAAGATCCCTTGTTTGTGATTGAGCTTCTGCATTGTAAATCAGCCTTTCCCTCATTTGTGAACTTAACCCAAACCTCAGTCGGGTTGCTGAGGTACCACTTAGCTAATGCCAGCCTCCTCCTTCCTTCCAGGGGAGTAGGACCCCTGTTGCCTCAGCCCCCGACACTGGTGTGTTCTGCTAGAGACCAGATGGAGTGTCCGCCACCTCAACCCTGGACATCTTCTCTTTCTGCTGGGAGGGGCCCTGCCATCACATCCTTCCTACCAGATTGAGGTCCTTTGTGCCACGTGACTCTCTTCCCACCAGGCTGTCACTTCAGTTCTGCAGCAGCTCCCCCAGGGCATGGTGAACATCAGACGCTGCAGCCATCGCTGCGTGATGAACAGGAGTGTCACACGAGGAGGCGAGCAGGGGCTTTGAGAAGAGGGGGCTAGGGACCTGGGATGTCTGGCGATGGTATATGCTGCAGTCACCTGGGGTGATATGGGCTGAAGGGGAAGCTATGGACCAGACACCACTGTCATCTTCAGGACATCCTCGGGAAGAGTCACAACCAGTAGATAGTAATTAGGGACAACGGTGGTGGGGGCCGAGGCTGGTGCACCTGGTGGGTCTGAGCCTCAAAAGAGAGGGACTTTGACATAAGAATGTGGGCTGCGTAGATGACACTGGGCATCCTGAGCGCTGACCTCAGCTCTGTGGAGCAGAGAGGGACCCGCTGAGAATTGGAGATGACACCTGAGGAGACTGCAAAGAGGCCAGTGTTGCTGGGGAAAAGCTGGTTCTGGGAGCGAAGTAGGGAGAAGATTCAGGGAAGACGGGGGAGGCATCGTGTTAGCTGGGGCCATGGAGGACCCTGCTGCCCATCTCATGCACTTTCCTCTGTTCACTCCAGACGTGGGAGGTGTCTTTTCTCACCTCCCCATTTCCTCTCTCACTGTCTTCTGGTCCCGACTGTGAGCTCTGTCCTTGACAACTGCCTGTTGTCTCTGGACCCTGATCCCACTTGTCCACCCTCCTGAGAGGCCCCCTCGGCAGCGCTCACCTCCACTCACCTCCAGCCAGAACTTTTCCTTAATCCACTCACTGACATTTCACACTGATGTGCCAGGACTCCTCCGTGGAGCTCCAAGTGTGTGTATGACTCACATGTTTTTGAAGAATATATGGAGGAGGAAAGAAAAGGGAAAAAAAAAACCAAGAAAAAGAGAGAGGGGGAAGATTTTAGTCATGTAAGTCATGAAAGAGCCTACCAGGCTCACTTTGGTTTTGTTTGTTTTAGAAAATGACTGGAGGCCATAATGTTTGAACTCTTCCATTGTTGAGTCTGCTGAGAATTCAAGCAGGCCGACCCCTGGAGACTTCTGTCTTCAGTTCCCGATTCGGAAAAAAATGAAAGTCTGAATCTTATTAAGCAGATCTGCAGGACTTGGACAGAAAAAAATAAGAAAACACAATTCTGCATTCAAGCCTGGGAGAGAAAAATAACTTCAGAGGGAGCCAGACATACTCTGGAATTCCTTCAGCAAGGACACAGCGAGACATACTGTGTGTGTGTGTGTGTGTGTGTGTGTGTATGTGTGTATGTGTGTGTGTGTATGTATGTGTGTATGTGTGTGTGTATGTGTGTGTATGTGTGTATGTGTGTGTATGTGTGTGTATGTGTGTATGTGTGTGTGTATATGTCTGTGTGTATGTGTGTGTGTGTGTATGTGTGTGTATGTGTGTGTGTATGTGTGTGTGTATGTGTGTGCATGTGTGTGCGTCTGTGTGTGCGTCTGTGTGTGTGTCTGTGTATGTATGTGTGTATGTGTGTGTGTATGTGTGTATGTGTGTGCATGTGTGTGCGTCTGTGTGTGTGTATGTGTGTGTATGTGTGTGTGTATGTGTGTGTATGTGTGTGTGTATGTGTGTGTGTATGTGTGTGTATGTGTGTGTATGTGTGTATGTGTGTGTATGTGTGTATGTGTGTGTGTATGTGTGTGTGTATGTGTGTGTATGTGTGTGTGTATGTGTGTGTATGTGTGTATGTGTGTGTGTATGTGCGTGTATGTGTGTGTATGTGTGTGTATGTGTGTATGTGTGTGTGTATGTGT